AGTCTAATAACATCAGGTAGGTGACTCACTGCTCCATCTGCTGTGGTCATGAGTCACTGACACAATGCAAGGCACGCTGAAAAAAAAGGCATTGTTGATTAGTCAGGTCCTCCCCAGCCAGAACCTTGAGAACCTTAAAAGGAAAATACATCTATAAAGCAGTAAAAATGAGATCAAAGTCTGCTCATATTTCAAATATATAGCCGCTATCTTGCTAAATAATGTGCCATTAACACTGAACAGTGTTTGTATTTGCATAATTCTGTTTTTCCTGAGTAAAGTACAGCTGCCACATGATTACTGTGTTTGAAAAGACTGTCAAAGACAGACTGTGTGCTGATAGATCAATATTTCATGATTCTTCAGCATATGATAACTTAACTACCAGAAAATTTTACAATCATCCATGAGAAGGTCAAAAGGAGATAACAGAACTCCACTCTCAACTCTGTAGCTGTGAACAGAAAACTAATATAAATTCCTTTCTTCTTCAAGAAAACAAAAAAAAGCAAACCCCACATTTTTTCTGCAATGTGTTCAATAAAGGCCCACGTGGTGTTCACCTACACCTGAACATTACTCTGGTTCTGAGAAGGTGTGAAGATAAATACAATAACTGCTCATAATCAAATCTATGTGTGATACTTTTGTATTTTTTTAACAGGGTTTTACTACTTTATGATTTAATGAACCTGCAGAGCAAATTAAAATAAGCTAGAATGAGGCCAAGGTATTGACAAAAAGTATTAAATTAGAAATTTTTCTGGACCCATAATTCCAAGAAAATTCAGTCTCATTCAGTCAAGTTTCTCCCAAACATATGTGAGCATTTCAGTGTCCTTAACACCTATTTACTTGAGAAAGACCTGACAAAACTATGATCATTAACTGATTCTGCCCTAATTGCTTTGAAATGCCTAATTCTTTCCTAAATCTTCTCTAAGGCTCCCTAAGATGTCAGGTTGAGTTTAAAAATTTTATATATGTTTAACGTACAAAAATGGTCAGAAAGTTAAATACTGAGCTGACCCAGCAAAATAACTGTGGGTTTTTATACTTCAAGTTATTCAGTCCCAACATTTACAAGTTTCCATGCTGTAAAACCTCATGTGAGTAGAAAAACATTTTTACTACAGCTTAGAGCTTTATACGCCCAAGTAATCTGATACAACAAATTACCAGTAAAAAGAGTAGACAATCAATACTTTTACCACATCTTAATCTGTTTGGAGATCGTCTTTCCTGTGGAAAACCCCTGACTGATACTGTACTAATAAAGGAAATAACTTCACGAGGTAATTATACTTATTGCTGACATCCTAAACATCCTGGACTGACTCCAGCCATGTGGTACAGCCTCTGGGAGGGAATTCACAAGAACAGCTGAGACATATACAGCTTAAAATGGTATAAACTGCAAATTTAACTGGTGTTAATCCCCTCTCTTAACTCTGCTCTCCCTCTCTCATGCCCTCCTTCCCCCTTCAGCAAGGAATTGAGGCTTTCTGTTTCTGGTATTTTTGCCTGCTGGTGACAGATTTTTTTTCTTTGTTGTACAGATGTTTGATGTTGTTTATACTCACAGACTTCAGAAGGCTGCCTTTTCTTCTTGCATTATAGGTTGTATATTAGCCAGACATCTTGCTATTCTTTTTTTCTGCAGCTAACTAATTGATTGATTGTTCACAGCACAATTGTTGGAGAGGGAAGAGATCTCTATTAATTGATTGGTAAATGGACATGCAAAATAACAGATGTCTGAAACACAGAAAACAGAATATAATGTACTGCCTTTAAATGAATAAACAATGTGTGGGAAAAAAATAAATCAAAGATGCACAACTCCCTACCCTGCTGCTTTCAGGAACAATGGTCTTTTGTCTCAAAACTCATCCAACCAGAAGGTGGTTTTTATTCTCCAGAATCACTGATTCAGATGATGTCTGCCTTTGACAAGAGTTCATTCCCCATGATGGGGGGCCATCTTTGCCTCAAATCTGCCTTAAGTGTCTTGTATGGCTGCTGATCTAAGCCTTGAAAACTCTTTTTAGGTGATATCTCTGGAACATGCTTTTTCTAACTATGTGTATATTTGTTCTAAAATTATTCCAGCTCATCTTGTCTGAAGTCTAAGAATAAATTCTACCTTGGAAAAAAGATTATATGTGCTTCTGTGTAATGTACTGGGTTTTGTGCAATACATGCATTCAGGAAGAGATGCTTTTTAGCTATGTTGGTTTGTCTTGGAAAAAGATCATCTCCCTGGGTTGCACCTCAGCTATAAAAATTTGTTATAGTCCAAAACATATTCTCTGACATCTTTGACATAATATAATTTTAAACAAGACTTTGCTCCAGTCTAACATAATAACCTGCTATTCATGGTTAATCCCATGTCCCCAGCAGCATGCTTTTAAACAGAAGCAATATTTTCAATAGACATGACTTTCTTCCTGCTGTAAAAATACAGTAGAGAGATTACAGGGTTCTGTTAGATTAAATACAGATGAATTTTTACATTTTTTCTTTGTTGTTGTTGTTGTCACTGTTGCTTCAATCATAGAAGATAAAAATAATAGAACAAATGACCAGAAGAGGTGATCGATACTATAAACTCCTTCTGATCCTCAGTAATTCTCTTTAAAGATAGAGTGTAAGTCCCTCTGGAATATATGGGAATTTTCCCACTAGCCTCAGTGGGAGATAACCCAGGTTTAACATTCTCAGTATAAGTAATGAAACACTTATGCTGAAATAAATAAGTGCATAGCACCATACCCTCATGTATTTCAGTCTCTCAGTAGGGCTGATGAGCTGAGGCACGTCATGGGAGCACTGTGAACTAGATCTGTTTTGTGTTAACCTGATCACCTGACTCAACATATGAACGAGGCATGTCACCCCTGTGCCCCTGGCTGTCCTTGCAAATGCAATTATGGGTGCAGGGCACTTCAGCAGCTCTGGGGTGAAGTGCAATTCTAAGCAGGCACCCTAAGGGTTCCTGATGGTTCAGCTTAGAAGACATCATTTGTCTGCCCTGGCTATAATCATAGTCTGTCTAAAGCCTTGTGTGCACAAGAAAGTTGTTGTGAAGTAAACCAAGGTGACAGAGGAAAACCAGAAGAGTTATTCTGCACTGATTTCAGTTGCAGATCTTCCACTCTGGGATACAAGTGCATCCTCACCACTCAGCTCAGCCCCTGTCCGAAGAAAGCTCGCTCAAAGGAGCTAGAAAAACTGAGTTAAAATCCATCAAAACAGTCAGAATAACTGTGCTTGCATTGTAAGTTAACTGCACAGTACTTCTCCATGTTGAAAGATGAATTTAGTCTTGATTCAGTGCATCAATACTGAATAAAGTGTATGCTGCAGCATCTGGATAATTGGCCAAACAATGCATGAGTTCACATCCTGTCAGCCCTGTCAGTGTCACCACATTCACTATGGGAGAGTCTTGCCAAGCCAGGGTTTGGGACTGTGGCCCTTGTCTCACTGCAAGAAAGGGAGACTTCAGCTCTTTAGATCTACCTCTTCTAAACTACTCAGTCAATTAACATTTATATATGTTTGAATTGTTTGGAAAACTGGTTTGAGGCCCAAATTTACAAAGATATTACAAAGAAGTATCCAATTTCTAACCCATTTTCTTGGGAATCTGATGACCATATGCCTTTGGGAATGTGGGCCTCAAATAGTTTTTTTTTAATGTTTTCATTGTACCTGATCTAAACTTCAGTTACTCCTCAAAACTAAGAAAATTAACATTCTAAATGTTACTTAAGTGTCACCTGTAAATTGTGAATGTTATTAAGCTGATTTGAGGCAGTGGGTGAACTGGAAACCTAACCATAAAAACAGAGGTGGAAAAGAGGAGTATCTTGTCTAAACATTTCTCTGCCAGTAAAGGATTGTTCCATATGCCATACTTCCTACAATGTGATGGAACATAATTCAACTATTGAGTGATTCCAGGTAGCTACTATCATTCATTATTACTTAAATTGTGTAGTCCAAGAGTTGGCAGCTACAAAAAGAAAAATCAAACTACTGTACCAATACACTAAGTCTTAAGGTGTGTCCAGAACGAAACCTTCTGTGGCACTGAACAGAAGCCTGGTGTGCTGTGGTTGGGAGACTGAGGGAAGGGTTTCCCTCCGGGGACACAGGGGCCTTCCTGTCTCTGCTGTTCTCTACTGCATTTCTGGGAGCATTCAGAACTGACTGAAGCTGCCTTAGCCTGACAATAGCACTGGGTTTATACTGTCGACTATTGTAATACTGCGCTTGCAGGACTTAAATAGTTTACTCACCTTTACTTCTCACTCAGGTTCCAAAATAAAATGAGGCTTATAGGACAGTTCCCTCCTGGAACAACAGTGCTGCCCCAGAGCAGCAAGCTCTGTCCGTGAAGTTCTTGGGGTGAAGCACAAAGAGGAAAAGTAATGTGGGAATTGGGGAATACACACAGAGATAGAAAATTATGATGTTGTCTGAGTATTTTTAAAAAAAACTTTGAAAGGAATCAATCAGGGAGAGTGGGGTGCTGGCCAGTCAGATGCAGGACATGTCACTCCCCTGAGACCGAGTTGGTCCTCGGAGCTGAAAACATCTTCTGAGAGTCTTCGCCGGAGCCTGGAAAGCAAAACACATAATGGAGGTGCCACGCAGCTCTCACCCTCCCCTTCGCATCAAACCTATTCAAAACACCGAGAGAAGGAAAGTCTCGTGTCTGAACGGGAAACTCCCATTGCTCCTTTCCCTCAGCATCTTCCCTTTCCCTCAGCATCTCACCCTCTCCCTCAGCATCTCTGCCCTTCTGTCCTCCCCGCTACCTCCGGGGTGGGTTTCTCTGCCCAGGGCCCCGCTTGCCTGCCTGCCCCTCGCACTCCCCGGGCCGGGGCTCCAGCGAGCCGCGGCCGGACTAGCCAGTGCCGCCGTCCCGCCCCCGCACCCCCCCCGGGCGCCGCCCGCCGGCAAGCGGCCGGCCCCGGCGCCAGGGAATGCGGCGGGGACCGGCGGGCGGGGAAAGCGGGCGGCGCGTGGGCACTGCTGTGCAATGCGGTTGCGCTGCTGTGGGCGCTGTGCTTGCCCGCGCGCGCGCGGCGGCGGCGGAGAAGGGCCGCCAGCCTGGGCGAGATGCTGCGGGAGTGGAGGCGCTGATGGAGGACACGCAGCACAAGCTGCGCAACGCTGCAGGAGGTGAGGAGGCGGCGAGGGGCGGTAGGGAAGTGAGTGAGGCTCCTTCGTCCCGCAGCCCCGGGCAGGGCCGCACCTGCGGCACGCCGCCACACCCCGCGCCCATGAGGACAAAGGAGAGGCGGCGCCCTGCCGGAGGAGCCCGGCCCGGCGACCTGAGCGCGGACGAATCCACACGGCGGGGTCCGCGGCGCTGTCCCCCCGCTGCCCCGCTGTCGCTGTCCCCTGGCAGCCTCCCCGCCCGCTCGGGGCTCGCCGAGTGCGGGCATCGCTGCGATGTCCCCGGACAGCCGCCCTCCCGCAGCGGTGCCGGCGGACAGCGAGGCAAAGGTGCGGGCAAACAGTCCCGTCTGGATCCCAAGAGTGAGAAAGGAACAGTACGTGGCGAGGGGAGGAGTGAAGGGAAGAATTAGTTATATTGTCTTGGTGCAGCACGAACTGAGACACGCGACTATCCCAAACCAGGATTCAAAGCTGTGAGACAGTCCTGAAAACGCGTGTGGAGAATGAGATGTAATTCCGTGTGTTGATCTCAAATTGCCGGCCCAGAATTGCACAGGACCCATTTCAAAGCCAGGAACTGAGACCAGACCCCGAGCCGTTGTCTCATACCGCTTGTCAAAAGATCTTGTCCCTGCGCTCCCCTTTCTTGTGTGCTTTCCCCCCCTTCATCTCAAATTGCCGGCCCAGAATCGCACAGGACCCATTTCAAAGACAGGAACTGAGACCAGACCCAGAGCCATTGTCTCATACCGCTTGTCAAAAGGTTTTGTCCCTGCGCTCCCATTTGCTAAGAATCTCCCAGGTTCTCTTTTCCTCTCATTCAAAAATACATAGTCAAAAAACCTCTGTAACTGGCAACCAGTGGGGGAACCAGACCTTTGTTTAGTATAATTAGGTAATTTCCAAACTTCTACTGTCATCTGGACAGTTGCTGAAATGTGTCTCTGTCATCCACTTAATTTAGACTGAAAACACATTGAGACAAAACATTCTTTACAGTGCTGCAAATAGGCTTAGTTATAAATAAAGATGTTGTCAAAATTTCTGCCTGTTTTACTCTTCCTGTAGTCAGTTCTGGACTGAGGAATGGTCTGTGTACAGCACAAAATGTGTGTTGTTTGAGCTGCATCTTAGTAGATAAATGCTTTACACTTTAAAAGCTTTGCAGCTGTTGTTTAAAATAAACAGACACACCAAAAAGAGAAATTTTATCTTGGGAAAAATTCAGTTGTTCAGCCTGGCTGAACTTGTGGCCTCCTAGCTCTGTTACAGTGGTTGCAAACAACAAAGGGATACGATTTATTCAGAGTTTGTGTTGTTTACAAGACTCATGCCCTTCTTCATCTGGCAAACAATGACAGTGGGAACTGAAATAGAGAATGAAATTCTGGATGTGTGCACCCTCATCTATAAGACTGCTGCTGTTGATTCCGAGGGGCTTTGTCTCTCTGTCCTGCCAGAATATTTTCTCCTCTTTGTCAGATAGGAAAGTCTATCCTAAATCTTTAGTGGTTTTGTGGGAAAAATAGAAAGCTGGGCTCTTGACTGGCATCAGCCTGTGCAGATACCAGTTGTTCATTAGTCTGCACCCTTTTTCCTCACGGGGACTGACTTTGGCTCTAACAGCCCAGAGCTCAAGGGTTTAGCTCACCACTGTTTTTCTAGTCCATTAGAAGAGCTGCTGTGCTCAGTGTCTGAAGCAGCTGAGTAAGCGTTCTCAGCCAGGGGCATCTGTGCTAACAGCACAATGTCATTAAACAGGGTGCTACTGAGGGCTGCACAAGAAGCTTTGCTTCTTCTCCTTTGTGTCATTTTTGCTAATTTTCAGTTGTTTGTTTTTTTTTTTTTTAAATTTGGCAGATGGAAGCTGAAGAGGAAGGGGCAAAAAAGCTGTCAGAAGTAAACTTTGAAAACTTACCTCCCAACTACCATAACGAGTCCGACAAGGAAACCAGAATTGGTAACAGAACTGTTCAGACTCATCAAGAAATTGATAAGGTATGAGAAAACACGTATATGGTGAGCTGTTCATTCTTACACACCTCTCCTTCAAAACTAAAAACAATTTTGAATGTTTTGGGGAGGAATAAAATAACTTGGAGCATAAACTTTCCTGGTGATAATTACTTTGGGGTTTTATTGTATCTTACGTGCTTGATTAGTCACTGTGTAAGGACACATCATAAAAGGTTAATGTGAAATAATAATTTATGTTGAAAAACGTGCCTCCTAAAAACAGAACACAGCTACAGCTATTACATGGGTCATAAAAGAATGACCATCTCCTGCTCAGCCACCTTCATCACAGTGACATTTTAAATAGATAAGGAGGTAGCCTTGTCATCTACTTTTCCCCCTCAGAATAGCATTTAATATGAGTGACAGCAAAATGGGGAGAAAAGGAGGGGGTGGGAGTGGGTTAATTACTAAAGAATGTAGGGCTGAGAGTAGCCAAGGGCTAATAAAAAGATGTGGTTTGATATTTTGTTCTTCTTTTGCTGTGTCAGGTTACAGATAATAAAACTGGATCAACAGTTTTTTCTGAAACAGTTATTACATCTATAAGGGACGGAGAAAACAAAAGAAATCATGTAAGTGAGCACATTTTTTCCTTTGGAAAATCAAACAAATGCTTGGGGGTTCATTGTCCAGAAGACTGTGATAGAGTTCACTTAACAAAATTTTGGAATGCTTTAAAACACACAAAACCATTGGGGCAAGCAGTCAAAAATATTTGTGGTTTTAATTAATTTAACTTATGATTATTATGAATTGGAAACAGAATTTCAGTGAGGTGTTTGATCTGAATATTAAATTTGTCTGTCAGATGTAAATGTTAAATAGCAAAGACAGTTACACAGCCCTTTCCAGTGAGTGTGAGTAAATCCTTAGTGTAACAGTGCTCTTGTAATTAATAAAAAAATTGCTTTATAAACTTATAACAAACCCTTAATCTTCTATTGTGAGAGGTCTGTGGAACAATATATGGCTCTATTTGCTTTTCAGCCTAACACAGTGATGGGCAACTGGTTGTGAAATGTCACTTTGGGGAGGGGGGAGAGAGGTGGGACAGTAAATCCCCCTCCCCTCTGGAAATACAGTTGCTAAAGGATTCTCAGAGGTTTAAAAGATCAACAGTGTTCTTTACCTGAGTCTTGCAAACAGGTCCCATGAAAAATTCAGCATGTACCACTGCTTAGAACAACTGGTAGGTTTTCTTTGGTTATAGTCTCACCAAAATGGACTCTTTTTTTGTGCTCTAAGACTGGCTTTTTTCAGAGTAACTTACTTCCAGAACTTTCACAGAAGGAGCTCTTTAACTATTTTATAAAACACTGAAAAAAAAGAAAAGAATTATGGCAGTGGTTTCTATTTTTAATGGGCATAAAGTCTGAAATTAGTGCATCTTTTCTTGTATCATCCTCTAAAGTTTTCCCCCTTTCAGCTCATTTTTTTCACACTGCTATTAAAGTCTGAGAATGGCAAGTAGCAAAAGAAAGTTTTTTTTTATGCTATACTTACTTTTTGTTACTATTTTGCAAAGCTTATAGATTAGGTGGTAAGTCAAGGTACAAAATGAATTGCAACTATTCTAAGCTATAGCTTGCTTTTATACAAAGTGTCAACAGTGCTTTTTAGTAATAAGATATGTGTAATGAAAGCAATCCAAATATCTTTTTCAAGCAAATATGCTCATCATCTTCAAACCCAGTGTACGAAAGCAAACTTTACAACCTTCTTAGCAGTGGAACACACTGCTGATGGTGTTTCATAAAGTATTTGGCTTGCCTGTGGTGTCTAATCATTCTTCACAGCTGTAAAAATTACTTCTAAATTAACTTTCTCCAACAATCTTAAGCTTCATATGTCAAGGGCCATCTGCGTTTTCCATATGGGAAGGTTGCCTCGCTTACCAAGCCAGTGCTCCATCCAGAACTAACACTGTTATTAGTGTTCCAGCTGAAGAACTTGAGGGCTGAATGCAAATTTTTGTCAAACTTCATGGTGGCAGCCTTTTATGAGGGAGGCACAATCAGAACTGATCACGTTAGCTCCTAATCACTGAAATCCTGACCGACGCTCTCGCTGCAGCAGCTGCCGAAACAAAACTGCATTTGTTAGTGTTTATTTCCCCCCCTCACACTCATTTTGAACTTTCAGCATGCCCACGGTACAAACACCTTATTTAGAGGTTGCCAGGCTGGAGAAGAAGCTAAGTGGGAAAAACAACCTACAGACGTACTTGGTTACTTAAGTAGAGCGAGGCAAACACTCATTTATTAATTTGACTAAGAGGTGCCTAGCAGAAGTAAATCTGAAAGTACTTGAAAACTTCAAACACTAAGGATGAACATGAATCACTTTTGGTACTAGAAGGCTGAAGAACTATTGTAGGATGTGATTGAGAACTGGAAAATTTGGGTAAGAGAAAGAAGAAAGTGCTGCTGAGGAGAGATCTACCAAATAGACAAAAATTTTTTTCCAAATAAAAAATCACTCTCTTAGATATGTAAACTTAAGGCAAAAGTATTGGGAAATGAGTTGCAGCAGACTTTGCACTGTCTCCTTTGGTAATTTTTATATACATTAATTTTTATACTTGGAGCCTCATGTGGGATTTCCTGGTCCCTTCCCAGTCTGCAGGCTTCACAGACTATTGGGTAGTGTAAGAGTAATTCTGATTCTTTGCTGCTAATTTTAAATGTTAGCAACAAAGTAATACATGTGTACATTTTATATTCCCCAGACAGTTAAAAAAGGAAATCTTTTGAGATTTGTTTGGAGCTTATCTCAGTCATTTTAAAATACAGCTAGTATGTACTGTTCTGTAGCACTCACCCTTACTACCCATCACTGATTCATCCTGCTGTGCAGTACAACACACCAGGAGGTTTGTGTAATTGTGTCTGTAAGTAAAGACAGTCATTTGAAAATGGTGATACTGGCAACTCCATCTGGGGATGGACACTTTGGTAGTAGAGGCTGTAGGGATCAAAGCTCTGTTCTGATGCCACTCCCAGAGCCTTCAGATTGCTGCCTCCTTAGAACAGCACTTTGGTTTTTATTTTTGGTCTGCCAAGTAAAATAAATAGACACGTGCTATCACACAAGCTCAACTTTTATGCCTGTAGGGAAGAAATGCTAAAAACCAAACCAGTTTCATAAGTTCAGTTTATAGGCTTAGCTTTTAAAAGTTAAGGATTCCCATAGCTCCTGCACTCTGGGTACAAATTTGGGTGGTAAATATAAAAACTTTCCAAACACCTTCACAAGCCACCTGCTCTGAAATTTAAACTCTATATAATTTATTACTCCAATAATTTGTAATAACTGGAACCCTACAAATCTCAGTTTGCATTTATTTTCTGAGCCGAGTTCTAAGCCTCTGAAATCACTGAAAGTTTTTCATGTGACGTTTTTGGGCTTTCAGACCTGACACAAAAGCCTCACAAGAAGGCAAAGATGTGTCTTGTGGAGAGTCTGCATTGCAATAATAAATCCACATGGCTGGAATGAAATTTGGCACCGGAGAAGCAGCTTTGTGGAAAATAGGTTGTGTCTGCTTTTTAAATCACTGTGCTTGTCCTCCTGAAGCAGGTACAAATACACATACATAAGCATATACACATACATACAGTGCAGATACACTATTACAGAATCATTTAGGTTGGAAAAGACCTCTGAGATCATTGACTGATCACCTTGTCAACTAGACCGTGGCACTGAGTGCCACATCCAGTCGTTTCTTGAACACCTTCAGGGATGGTGATTCCACCAACTCCCCTGGGCAGCCCATTCCAATGTTTAACAACTGTTTCCATGAAGAAATTACTCCTGATGTCCAGCCCGAATCCCCTGGCACAGCTTGAGGCCAACTCCTCTTGTTCTGTCACTTGTTGTCTGGGAGAAGAGGCTGACCCCTGCCTGGCTACAACCTCCTTTCATGCAGATGTAGAGAGCAATAAGGTCCCCCCTGAGCCTCCTTTTTTTCCAGGCTAAACACCCCCAGCTCCCTCAGCTGCTTCTTATTGGACTTATCCTTCAAACCCTTCACTAGCACTGTTACCCTTCTCTGGACTTGCTCCAGCACCTCAGTGTCTTTCCTGAATTGAGGGGCCCAGAACTGGACACAGCACTCAAAACACTACATAAACATAAGGCATAATCTTCCCCCCACACACACTTTTCCTCTCAGGCAGTATTTCTCCTTGGCTTTGCATCACAGAGCTATTCTCTTCAGGCTGTTCTTCGTTACTGGAGGGCTGGTTTGACAGTATTTTTATGGCCAGAGGGCTATCAGTATTTGAAGTCTCCAGAGGAGGGATTGGGCTGTTTGCAATTCCAGGCAATGCAATCCAGCTCCTCAGAGGTGCTGCATTATCGGGAGGCGCCATTTACATTCCCAGACTGACATTCATGTTCTCAGGTGTCACTGAGGGCTGGCAGTCACCCCCAGACACGTCAGGCTTCCATCCAACAGCCCTGTGCCTTTAAAGAGGCCGAGCACAGGCAAGAGGTAGCTGGATGGGCATAACGTCTGTGCAAGGTTTTACATCTGTTTGCTCCTGGGTTTAAGGCTCAAATACTCTAGCATTTACTTCTCCAGGGAACACTGACTAGCTTGCAAATTAACAGAGTATTTTCAGTCAGAAGCTCAAGTACAGAACCCAGCAAAAATTACAGCATTCCTTATTATCCTATGAAAATCAAAACCTTTTCTGCCTTGTTGACTAGACCTATTTCAGTTGTGATACATTAGCCTAACAAATGAAAAGCAAGGAGGAAAAGTAAAAGGGAAAAAAAAATTATACTGGTAAGATTTGCTGCACAAAGATTAGCTGCATTTCTTCTCAGTTACATTCAGAGTAGTATTTTATGTAAGCTCTCTCTTCTAATTTAAAGCTAGGGTACCTGGTTTCTTTTCTTTTCTCTGTTAATTTGATAGATAAAAAAAGCAACACCTTCTTTTTAGAAAGGTTTTGTTTTGGGTTTTTTGTTGGGTTTTTTTTTTTGGTAGCTTTCAATTCTCTTTCTTGAAAGAGCTTTTTAAAGATACTGGTATCTAGACAGAGTGTACCAGGGAACTGGAAGAGTATCCTGCATTTCTCATTTAGCTTTGGTACTGTGGAACCCATTCCTTTCTTTTGCTTGTCCTTGGTGGTAGAGGCTCTTGAGGGCATGGCTGCCCCTTCTAATTATTTACACAGAATTTCTTTGTGGGAGGTAAGGAGAGCTGCCTTCAGTGTGATTCTCTGCAAGGTGCTTGCTCTTCTTCCACAAAGGTGGGTGTGTGCCTGTATAAACACATGGATTTGGCACCCACCTTTTGCAAACACAGCAGCTGGTTAGTGAGTAATTTCAAACACCATTGGGTCCTTAAGAAAGAGGTCTCATGATATTTGTTTCTGTGGTGAGAGTTTCTTCTTTGCATCCCTGAAGCTCTGGGCATGGAGGATGGCAGCTTTACAAGCTGCCTTGGCAGGTTCTGGAAGTGACCATCAGTCAGGTCATTGGTTTATCTGTACAGATAGAATGGATGGCATCCATTTTATAATGGCCTATTTAAAGCATTTGTCAGCCTGTATCTTTA